ACAATATTGTCAGGTTGACAGTAAATATCAATGAGCAACTGTTTTCCATGGTGATTTCAGGGCACCGCATGATTCAATGAAACTGATGTAATTCAATCCCTTCAAATGATTTCAGACAACAATTCAGCAAGTAGGTAAAATAATCTAAATTCTACTTGTTCACCGAGTGCGATTTTTTCTTTAAAAATTAACAGTTGTTTCGGTGTTGCAATGAGTATGAAGATTAATTTTGTTTCGTATGGTAAAATGTTTCCTCAATATTTTGATAAAGGACCCCGCACATTTCTTATGAGAAATGGCTTGCCTTGAATTTTGCCCAAATTTTGATATGTTGTAGTTCTTGATGTGTTGATTGAAAGTGTCTATAGCCAAAGCTCAGAATTGTACAGTTTTCGAGATGTAAACCTTTGAATATAGATTTTTTCCATTTTTTGCTCATCAATTGAGAGCTCTTACTTCTGGTTGGGATAGAATTTGGATGTTCAGCGACCAGAATTAGTTTTATGAATAATCTTCTTCAGTTACACTTATGATGCACTGTTTGGAACCTTTGGTGTAGTAATGAATATTACTGGAGTTTTTTCCCAACACTAAATCGTTATTTTTAACACCTCAACACGTATTTCGATCACCAAGTAATCATCTTCAAAGAGGGAGATTAAAACTTTGAAGATGATCACTTGGTGATCGAAACACGTGTCGAGGTGTTAAAAATAACGATTTGGTGTTGGGAAAAAACTCCAGTAATATTCTTCAGTTATAATAGATGCCGCCATCGATAATTTTTCATACACTGCTTCACACTATCTCGATAATCTGAGAATATGGTGCTGTGACATTTTCCTCAGATAGACTCAAAATGAATGATAGCATCTCACAGCATCTGTATCTTTCATACCTGAGAGTACTCTCCAGATAGAATGAAGGGGTTCAGGTATTGGAAGCGAACCATTTTGCGCCGTTATTTGTTTTACCTAAAAATGGGGAGTTCCATCGCGAGTGGCGGACAGTATATATCACTTTGGCCAACCCCATTCAGGTGGTAGGTGCATTTTGAGCATTGCCATCAGTCCTGAGAGTTTCATCGTTCCACCTCGAATATAACGGAAGATACGGGGGTGTTTCCATAAGAAGTGAGACAAATTCGGATTTTTCAGGACTGAATTTTTTTCTGAAAAAAAGTGTATTCGTAGTAAGTTGGTAGTCCTCATCACGAATCTGAAGGAATTTTGAGCCTATTTTGCCCCCTAATATGTTTTACCGTAAAAATGGGGTGTTCCATCGCGAGTGGCGGACAGTGTATATCACTTTGGCCAACCCCATTCAGGTGGTAGGAGCATTTTGAGCATTTCCATCAGTCCTGAGAGTTTCATCGTTCCACTTCGAATATTACGGAAGATACGGAGGTGTTTCCATAAGAAGTGAGACAAATTCGGATTTTTCAGGACTGAAGTTTTTTCAGGAAAGAAGTGTATTCGTAGTAAGTTGGTAGTCCTGATCACGAATCTGAAGGAGTTTTGAGCCTATTTTGCCCCCTAATATGTTTTACCGTAAAAATGGGGTGTTCCATCGCGCGTGGCGGGCAGTGTATATCACTTTGACCAACCCCATTCAGGTGGTAGGCGCATTTTGAGAATTATTGCCCCCTAATATGTTTTACCGTAAAAATGGGGTGTTCCATCGCGCGTGGCGGACAGTGTATATCACTTTGGCCAACCCCATTCAGGTGGTAGGTGCATTTTGAGCATTTCCATCAGTCCTGAGAGTTTCATCGTTCCACCTCGAATATTACAGAAGATACAGGGGTGTTTCCATAAGAAGTGAGACACACTGTATGCAGGCATGGTAATGTTAGAATTTCAGGCAGAAATCTACCCCAATGATAAATGTGTGGAGGAATTGGTTGAAATCAACTCACACATACATCTATAAAAGTAGTCTCAGATGACGAGTGGCCAAACAGCCCGAAACCGGTCTGCAAATGTGTTCCAATAATTGAAAATCTATTGCGGCAGTTGTATCGCCAACAGCATATGCAGGAATAACTTCAGCGAAGAATCCTGCACTGACACCTGTCGGATATAATCCAACGCCCTTCGTGGTATTAGCCAGGGGAGTAGTTGTTTTCTGATAGGTTTCAGTCCATTAACCTACCGTGTAGGGAGTCGAGACTGGCCTGAACGAATTGTTCTTTCAGATGATTTAGTCTCAGATAGTCGAGCGACTCTGGAGCAATCAGCTCATCTAAGTCGTAACTGAACTGCGAAAAGGTAGGATTAATCATTACATGGCATTCATATATCTTTCAAAAAATAACGCCAAACAAATGTTAGACTAAATCAGACCTACTCGAAGGCTGCTGCCGTCCGAATCATCATATGAAGAGGCCGTTAGAAGCCCAAGCATGCAGAGCATACATGAACTCGGCAGGTACATCTCCCTTACGAGAATGCCATCTCTAGGATCAACTGAAAACTCAATCCAAAAATATCAAAGATAAACAAGGCTTTCCAAGGTGATCACTTGCAAAGTCAGGCTTCAACATCGACCGCTGAATAAGATTCATCTATGGGATCGACAGAAAACTCTATTAACAAACATCCAAGATAAACCAGACTCCCCAAGGCTTTCAGTGGCAAACTAAAGCTTCGACATCGACTGCTGAACGAGATTTGTCATCTGTCCTTATCTGCAGGTTTTACGGCAAGGCGTCCAGTTGATACCTGAACCCGAAAAACAAAGCATTGATATCAACTAGGTGCTTTGCAGTGAAAGCTACAGAGGTCCGAGGATGAATCAATAGGCAGTCGACGTAGAAGCTTGGTTTTGCTGGGATTAATTCATGAATGCTGTTCTTGGGGCTCTGGTATCAAGCCTATACCTTTTTCCTTCCTGCCAATCAGGTTTTCAATGTTTGCTGTCACAAGTTTCAGTCTTGCCGTCTGACCTGAAAGAAACTCACCAATTGAACTAATTGGCTTCGTTTTGAAGCTGGACTTATTCGGCTTAGTTTCAATAGGTGTGAGCTACAGTAACCCCACGAGTTACGGTGGAGAGTCAAATAAACCCATTCACTTTGAACATAATCCTGACACAACCTACTATAATTTTGACAGCTGAATGCGACGTTAGTAACCAATGCAAATATAAAAATTTGAAAGTTGTGAACAAATCCTACTCACCCTCTTTATCTTTGTCGGTTGTCACCGCCAACTTCGGTTTCTTAGAGGCCCCAACAGGTGGAGTTACCTCCCGATCTTTTTTCTGACGACAACGTCTGCCTTTGACGTAGATCACTTCCGTTGAAACTATATCTTTTTCTACGCCAGGTTTTTCCGTTAACGAAGTACCTGTAGGAGACTGTGGTGTCTGTGAAACAGAAACGTTTGTTAACTTCTTATTTCTCACTGACCTTAACGACATTTTAGGCACCACATCGTTCACTTCGGTTTCCTTTTCGTGCTCCTCAACGCATTCTTCTCTTTTGTTCGAGTTGGGAGTTTCATCGAATCTGTCAGATTTGGAATCGTTCTCCTCCACACTGATCGCTGTACGAGTTGAGCCACGGAGATTCTCGGGTCCTTCCGGTTTGTCAGCAGTCGCGTCGGTGTTGCCGCTGTTTTCACGTTCTGCTGTGATTTTCGTGCTTTTCTCCTCGTCATCCGGACTATTCGATGGAGTTTCTGAAACAGTTTCATCGTGACTTTCCTTCGTGCCGCACGTGTAAGCTACTCTCTTGACGCAGGGTTTTTCAACAACAGGAACTGAATGAAGCGATTCTTTTTCGTGAATTGGTGAATCGCCACCATCTGCAATATCATTTTTTGTTGAATTATTATTATGAAGCACCATTTTTACACTATCATTCATTTGTTTGCACCCCGATTGTTTCTGTTCACTGGAATCATTTTCATCGATGCTATTCGAAGGTGAACTTGCTTCTCCTGTATCTTCTATACTTTTCCTTCTGCTCCTGCCTTCACCACAGGTGTTAGATCCTTCAATCCCATCTATATTTCCTACATCCACAGCTGGAGCTTGACTCATCTTACTAGAGTCTACTGCAAGAGATGAAGATACTGACTTCTCAGAGATTTGATCACAATCAATAGAAGAAGGGTTAGAAACTAAACTGTCACCTTCAGTTACGGTGATACCTTTACCTAACCTCTGACTACATTTCTTGTTAGAGTCGTCAAAGTCACCTACACTATTAATACTGTCATTTTGGGAATCGTTACAAGTCTTGTCCTCCTCATTTGTTTTAGCCCTCTCTTCATTTCCTGTCTGGCAATCAAAACCGTTACCTTCACCTTGAACATACAAAACCTTTTCTTCAATCACTTCCCCAACGATCGGACTATCACTATTTTCTATATTTGATTTCATCGTAGGTTTTTCTATTGTCTGCTTCATCTCAAGTTGATCGATTTTTATTTTCAAGAATTTTTCTGTAGGTTCGTTATCGTCTTCAAATCTAGGCCTCTTCTTGCTTGTATCTATCAATTCACAGATATTTTTTATCCTCAACTTAGGTTTTGGTGTTTCTGCAGTCTCAATGGTGTCTTCTTTCACAGATTTTTCATTTTCCTTCAGTAAACTCGGTGTACTAACGCTATCTTTTTCCTCAGTCGTCTCTTGCTCAGTACTCTCTTTTTGGCCTGTATCTATAACAGGATTTTCCAGAGATTTACTTTCTTCGTTTGATGCACCCACTTTATATTTCTCCTCTCCATTACTTAAGTTGTCAATGAGTGAAACCAGACCTTCTCTATCTCTGAAAAAATATAGAAAAGTTTCAACATTCAACACAACAAGAAGTATTACAACCAGTGTTGGATGTCTTTCGCAATTATTTGACTGATCAGAAACAACGTGTTAAAATTAATGATACACTAAGTGAATCTGTGACCATAAGAACAGGGGTTCCCCAAGGAACCGTTCTTGGTCCAATACTTTTTCGAACCTACATAAATTATCTACTCTGAAAGTAAAAGCAAGAATTATATCATACGCTGATGATACAGTTGTTATTTCATCGTAGACCCATAAATACCCTGCCAATTTATGAGAAAATATTAGAAGTCACAGTGAAAGAGCAATTGATGAAATTTATAGCGAAACATAATATTTTGAATAAAGAACAATCTAGCTTTAGGGAATCCCATTCATGTGAAACCGCACTGCAATTTCTAATCTCTTTGTGAAAAGTTGAGCTATCTAAAAAACGTATTATAGGTGTTGTCTTTCTGGATTTCAAAAGGGCATTCGAGACGGTCAACATTGAGTTACTTTTAATGAAATTAAATAAGTATGAACTAGATTATAAAGTATTACAATGATTCACAAATTACCTCACATATCAGAAGCAGCTAGTTAAATATAATCAAGTGACATCAAGTACTTTAAATGTAATTTCTGGAGTCCCTCAAGGGTCAGTATTGGGTCCACTGCTATTCTTGCTGTACATAAATGATATTGTGATACATGTTGAAAGGTGTAAGATAAAACTGTTTGCCGACGACTCTATGTTGTACTGTTCTGGGACGACTAATGAAATCTCAGAATGTTTAAATGAGGGACTATTAAATATAAACGAGTGGTTATGTGACAACGGCCTCAAGTTAAATGTTAATAAAACAAAATGCATGTTAATAGGTAGCAAATATTGTTTAAACAACTGCAAGATGAACAGCTGTCATTGAATCTTTATATTGATAATGTCATCATTGAAAGGGTAACAACTTTTAAATATCTGGGAGTGGTGTTAGATCAAGAATTGAACTTTAATGCACACTGTAGTTATATTCAGAAGAAAATAGCCACGAAAATTCATCTTTTATATAGATTGAAAAATAAAATAAGCGAATATGCAAAATCAACAATTTATAAATCAATAATAGCACCCCACTTTGACTATTGCAGTACATTACAAAGATTAACCTCTTCAATTCTTGGCAGATCTGAATACAGAGGTCTGAGGGTGAAATTGATATTTTCGGTCTTGTTTTGGTTAAGAGAAAGTTTGTTTGCTAAGAACCATTCTTTTATCTGATTCTGTCCCTCAGCCACAATTTCTTGAATCGGTTCTGACGGGTGATATACTTGCAGATGAGTGGTGTGATCCGCAAATAGTATGAGTTTTGAGCTAGCTACATTGACTTTTAAGTCATTTATATAGATCAAGAAGAGTAGAGGCCCCAACACTGAGCCCTGTGGGACTCCATGATGCAATTGCAGAATATCTGAAGAGACACCGTCATATATAACATACTGAGAACGTTCTGTTAGGCAGGACCTGAGAAAGGCTATACTATCAGAATGAAAGTTGTAAAACTTTAGTTTTTTAATCAATATATCAGTTGAGACACAATCAAAAGCCTTTGTCAGAAATTTGATCAGTTACTTCATTTATTCAGTGAAAAATAAATCAGTTCATATGTATTAATGATTATATGGCTCATAAATAACGTTGCAACTCTACATATACTCACTTGGCAATCAAAGTCCAAGATTCTTCATCCAAGTCTTCTTTATATACCCTGATTTGATAATTATCATCGCTATGAAACCAGTAGAGATGCCCTTCTTTATCATGCCCTAAAGGTTTGGATCGTAAATCATCAGCAGTCAATCTATTTACTTCGTTTTTAAATTTCACATGGTAATCAAACTGCATTTCAAGAAGTTCCTGAAAACCAATTATAAACTTTAGAAAGGATGATATTGGATGGCTGGGGAAATACTTAATGGCGAGTATACTAATTTCTGGAAAAATGCCTTCACCTCCAGACCAGTAAAAAGGGGTACGCTTTGAAACATCAATTCAAAGATGACTACATATGAAACAGAAAATTAATGAGTTATGTTGTCGATTCGATTTATTTATAAGGAGACCAAACAGTTAATACTAGGGTGGTCTGAAAAGCTTTCGACGTCAACATGAAGATGGCAGCACTCGTATATAAAAGCTAGTTAATTTCATTGTTCATCTGTTGACAGTTACTCACCAAAGTTGCAGCCATTTTGAACTCGTAGTTGTTATGTTACAGTTGTTTCAGTGAGTTGATGTGAGTGTTTTATGAAAATGGGCAAAATCGAGTATCTAGCTGTCATTAATAATGAAAAAAATCACACTCCTTACCATCTTAAATGTATTATGATGACTCTGTCAGCGAAAATAGTAATGATATTGTATATCTTTTTGCAGAATATTTCTCATCGGTCTACAGTGATGAAACAGTTAACCAAATTCCAGAATATAAATTTAGTAAGTCGGTTGATATATGTAGTTATAGCGTTGATATTAAAAAAATAATCGATCTAGTCATGTCATTACATTGGAAATTGTCTACAGGTCCTGATGGAATTCTGCTATTCCTAACCAAAAAATGTATTTTTACCCTGGTCAAACCAATTCACATGATATTCAATATTTCCTTGATATCGTCGATTTTTCCAGATTATTGGAAAGACAGTTTTTTGAAACCTATTTTTAAAAGTGGATCACATAATGATATAAAAAATTATGGAGCAGTCTGTAATCAATCAGAATTACCCAAATTGTTAGACAGCCTAATTACAAAAAAACTAACATGGGATTGTAGACATATAATCATTAATCAACAACATGGATTCAGTCATGGTAGATCTACCGGCACAAATCTGTTCATCCATCAACACTGTATAATAAACGCCTTCGAAAATAGACACTAGGTGGATTCTATTTATGCAGATTTTTCAAAGGCATTTGACCGAGTAAACCACAATTTGTTGTTGCATAAACTAAACGCTTTGGGTATTCAAGAAAACATTCTGAAATGGATTGAAAATTATCTAGCCTGCAGAGTACAATTTGTAAAATATGGTAACTCAGTATCTTCCTCAATCACAGTTTCATCGAGTGTACCACAGGGTTCCCATTTAGGGCCATTGCTTTTCAACTTATTTGAGAGCAAAGTATCTTCTGTATAATTCAGTGTTCATATAGAAGTATTTGTTTCAAAAGAATTATTTCCTTTCGTGTAATTCAATGTTTATATGAAAGTAGCTGTTTCAGGAGGACTTTCTTTCAGTTTGTATCTGAAAGTTACTTCTTTGCATGATCTACACATTCATGTATGAGTTTCAAATTGATTACTTCCTTCCTATCTTTGGAAGATTCTCTCATCCCTTTTTTTGTATCAGATGAAGTAGTAGAAAGCCAAAAACTTTCTTTCCCAAAAAATTCCATTAACCGGACATACAAAATCAATCAATTAGAAATGAAAACAACAAACACAATCAGAGATTTAGGAATCAGTCTCGACCCAAAAATGTCATTTAAACCCCGTATTGCAAACCCCATATTGCAAATATTACTTCTAAAGCACAAAAAATGTTGGGTTTCATTCTTAGATCTGCAAAAGAATTATCTCTCACTTCAATAAAAATCATATATTGTTCAATTCTTAGATCAATAATCGAATACAATTCCACAATTTGGTGCCCTTTATATCATGTGGATATTGATATGCTTGAAAGTGTTCAAAATAAGTTTTTAAGGTACTCTGCATATAAACTGGGATATCATATTGGTGAATATGACTATAAAATTATATTGGACATTCTTAACTTGAATACTCTGGCTCATATAAGATTAGAAGCATACCTTACACTAATTCATAAAATAATCAATGGTAATTTTTTTAATTTTTTCAGATTCTTTCAGGTGTTTCAAATCAATTTTTATCACCCATTAGACAATGGAAGTCCAAACTAATATAATGCAATAAAATACAATATGTGAGGCTTCTTATAGCACCCAAATCGTCAACATAATACTCCTGAAGACCGTAGCATGCCTTTTTCATAAGTGCACTCTTCACAGTTTTTCTACATAAAATATAGTTTGCTACATTTTTGAAGAAACCAGACAGGTGGTTATAAATCTTTTTGCTTTCAAATAAGAGGGGAAATTTTTCGTTAAAGATGTTGTAGGTATAGGAAGAGACATATCACCCCCATTTAAAAAAATTTTAATTTACAATATATAATGAAATATAGGTTGTTTCAAGAGTTTTGTCCGTTTTGATGAATCTACTTTAAACTGTATATATCTCATTTGTTTGAAGGTGATTGACAATGTTTCATGATGAAATTCATGTTCGGGCTTTCATTGTCTAATATGATATAAAATGATTTGAAAACCCTGAAAGAACCAATACAGCCGTTTAGTATTCTTCATTCAGGCATAAAGAGGCATAAAGTCAGTCATGTATTGTTATATTAGAGGTATGAGTGAAATAATTATAAATGAAAATCCATATTGCACAGATCATCTATAAGCGCATTCCATAAATATAATTTCTGAATAAAGGATTGTTCTCAACAGAAAAAAGTCTATCTACCTTAAGAACCCTGACTTTCGATGTGAGCTTCGCTTTTTTATAACCAAAGCGCTCAATCTCCCAAGCATCCTGTGAACTAAAGTTGTGACATACAGCAACAAGACTTTTCTCCCATTTATCAGGTTTTACGGTTTTTTTCACTCTCCTCAACAATTTCAGAAATAAATTCACCAAATCAGGATGTACTGAAAAAAAATAACGGAATTAACGGAAAACATATTCACCACATTTTTTTTAATAGATTTCAATAGTGAATTAATAAATATGTACACTTCATTTTAGAATATAATAGTTTATTTGACTCAATTATACACAGCTGCATATTTATAGCAAGTCACAAAATTGAAATATCAATAAAACTATGGTCTAGTATTAATATGCATAAAAAAACGGTAACAAAACGGTAACACATTTAAAATAAGTCGCATGTTAAAATAAATAATAATGAACAGCACGGCTCTGCCGAACTCTAAAAACCTGTTTCGGTCCCCAGCGGGGCAGGCACAAAGTATATGCTCTGCTGTTTCATCATTTTCCAAACAGAGACGACACACACTATCTTCCGACAGTCTCTGCATATGATGAGAAGGTCTGTTACACATCGTAGTTAATTATTATTACTCTTTATTAGCAAATAATGCTCTTCATAGTACAGTCAGTCACTTATAAAATACAACCGTTGTCACATAACCACTCGTTTATATTTAATAGTTCCTCATTTAAACATTCTGAGATTTCATTAGTCATCCCAGAACAGTACAACATAGTGTCGTCGGCAAACAGTTTTATCTTACACCTTTTAACATGTTTCACAATATCATTTATGTACAGCAAGAATAGCAGTGGACCCAATACTGACCCTTGAGGGACTCCAGGAATTACAGAAATTACATTTACATTACATTTAAAGTTCATCCTTACTGTAGTCCAACAACTGTTTGGTATAAAGCTTCAAAGCTAGGAAGAATATCATGCAATTTTTAGGGCAGCGAGTTATTAAAAGATTTGGTTAGTCTATGTTTAGTTACTCTAATATGTGCTCCTAGGAATTGAATGAAAATACACTTGTTTTTCAAATATCCACAATATATTACTAATATGTGACGCGCTTCGCTATTCTTATAGCTTTCTCTAAAAAAAACACGCTTTGCTATTCCCATAGCTTTCTCCAACAAAAAGCTAAGTTCAAACTAAGTAATACAAGTGCTTAAATCGCGCAATGTAATGACGTTATAGTTATAAGTTGATAGTAAAAATTTCAAAGGAAAAGATTATTCAAATTTACATCGTGCAGTACTGAGGCTAAATCTTATTGAGTATTCAATTAAATTTATATCATAATAATATTTATCCAGTTGGATCATCTATAGATGATATCAAGTATGTCAAAAAGTGTAAAAATACAAAATTAAAAATACAAACTCTGTGCACTTAGAGGCCCAATATACAATTAACATAGATAATATAATATATAATAGTCCAAAGCTAAAATAACAGAGCTCTACAAAAAAACTTTTTTTGTGTTGCCCTGGATATTTTTGCAAATTTTTATGTTTTCAAGTGCCTAAATCACGAATATATTTATGAAAGTACTGAATGTGCTCTATTTTTTATGATTTTTACGTATCTTGTATTTTTAATAATAATCGGCTTGTTAGTAAAAAAAATTTATTTTCTCAGTCATGATTAGGCTTCTGCGCAACTTCTTTGCGCGTACAAACATCACGTGATCCCCACTTCTCGATCTCCTTGCTCTGCAAAACAGCTGAGAACTCAGTTATTTGATAATATTGAAGTACTAATACGGAAATCTGGATAAGTTGTTATATGTTAATATTTTGTTTCAATTGTTGAGTGCCTGTTCTAATATATTTATCTTGTCTTTTTAAACATGAGTTTGTCACGAAGGAAGTGCAAATATAGTAGTGATTTATTCTGTTATATTTGTGGTATTTATATATCGAAAAAACAAAAAAGAAATATCACAGACTTTGTTAGGGAAACTTATGCAGAATATTTCGGTTTTAAAATGGACAAATTAGATAAATCATGGGTTCCTAATAAAGTTTGTAAGTCTTGCGTTGAGTCTTTGCGGTTGTGGAAAAAAGGAGAACGTTCTGGATTAGACTTTGGTATTCCTATGATCTGAATGGAGCCTAAGAATCATTTCGATGATTGTTACTTTTGCGTAGTAAAAGTGATTCGCATTCAGAAACAATGATGTTGCCAAATTCACAGAAATCGAATAAGTCTACCAGTGGAAGTGAATGGGAGGGTGAAACATCTACGCCAAAGTTGTTTTCTCAAAATGAACTCAGTGATTTAATACGTGATCTAAATTTATCAAAACAAGGATCAGAACTGTTAGCTTCAAGATTGAAAGAAAAAAATTTATTGGCACCGACAGTTACAATTACAACATACAGAACGCAAGAAAGTGAGCTATTACAATTTTTTGATGAAAATGGAGGATTGGTATACTGTAATAATATTGCGAAGCTGCTTCTGGACATGGGTTTCAAAGAATACAAACCTACTGAGTGGCGTCTTTTTATTGATAGCTGTAAAGAAGTTTAAAATGCGTCTTACTGCATAATGGAAATAAATTTGCATCAATTCCAATTGCCCATTTTACAAAACTCAAAGAAGAATATGAAAATGTCAAATTAGTTTTAGAAAAAATCAATTACTCGGAGCATCAATCGTCGATCTGTGTGGATTTAAAAATGGTTCATTTTTTACTTGGTCAACAAAGTGGATACACGAAATACCCTTGCTTCATTTGTATGTGGGACAGTAGAGCAAAGCAACGTCATTGGGAACAAGATGTTTGGCCTGAAAGAAATTCTTTAACTGTCGGTAAAGCTAATGTAATAAGAGAGCCAGTGGTGAGCAGAAACAAAATTATACTTCCACCATTGCATATTAAGTTATGACTGTTCCGGGAAGTAAAGCTTGGGAAAGTTTTGTGTTGGTAGGCGAAAATTTCCTAGGTTACCATAAAGCACCAAATTATGAAGAAATTATACAAAATATGCTGACAAACTTTCTGATTCTAGGAGCAAATATGAGTATCAAGTTACACTATCTTCGCAACCATTTGGATAAATTTCCAGATAATTTAGGAAATTATAGTGAGGAGCAGGGAGAGCGGTTCCACCAGGATCTAAAAGTAATGGAAGAAAGATGGTCGATGGGATTGTCACATGATGGCCGATTACTGCTGGTCTTTAAAAAGAGATTGTCCTCTGAAAGATTATAAAAGAAAAGCTCTTAAAAGGCGTTTCATGGAAATATAACATGTTTTCGAAATTTCCCTCTCTATTTACTTCAAAGTATCATATTTTTTTCCAGATAAAACTAGGATTATAAATATATCTGTTATTCTATTTTTTTTTTTCAATTTTTGTAATGTGATCTTCCTAAAATGTTACTCATGTACAGGGTCATAAATTATCATCCATATATTCTTTGAGGGAATAATAGGATTTATCCAGAAACAACTCTTTGATTTGATGGTTATACTGTTTTAGAGCCAGATTTTTCATTGTACTTGGAAGTTTATTGTACAATTTAACGGCCATAAGCCTGGGACATGATTCAGATACAACTATAGTCTGTTCATAATTTGTTGATAGCTCACTGCAAGTTTGACCCTCATTAGAGAACTGAAATACAGAAAGGACAGCTAATATGATATAATAACAAAAACCAAACTAAAACTGGCAGTTTAAGATGTTTTCGACTAACCCACCTTGTATCTGAAGAAATACAATACAGCTATAAAACTTTTAATCCGATTATGTAGGTATTTTGAGTGGAAATGAGTGACCAGTGTCGTAGAGTATATGATTAAAA